CCGTATTCAGGTGCGAGCGTGGCTGGAGGCTAACCGTGTTGGAACCCCCCACCACACTCCCTTGAGCCCCCCCCCTCTCTCACAGGATCTTCTCCCTCTCTCAAACTCCACCCATTCCTCACTCCCTTTCAAGCTCTCTCTTCAAGTTTCCCCCACAAGAACGAAGCTATAATGGCTGCCAAAGACACTTAACAAGTGCCTTGACCAAGCTTAAATAGAAGTGCTCAAAACAAGCTCATTAATACAAGTTACCGACATTATCGTCCAGGACGAAAGGTATATCGTCCTGTACGATCAGTACAATTTAAGCCAATCAGCTGGGATGATTTGAGACGATCAGAAGAAGTTTGTTCATATCGTCCAGGATGATAATATATCGTCCTGGACGATCAATACAAATTGTGGAATATCGTCCTGAACATCGCCCTGAAAAACAGTTATCCAGTGTCCAATCGTCCAGCACATCGGCTAGGACGATTTCTCGATCGCGATTTGATCATGAAATCAAGTCATAATTACTTTCCTTAAATTATAGAGAAAAATTAGAAAAATTGACCTGGATCATCCTCGATGATATTTTATAGTCTTAGATGATCCACCTGGACGATATCCAAAAATAGGTTATTTTTAATTAGATTTAGCGGTAGATTCTTTCTGAATTGAGCCTATCGTCATGGCCGATACAAAATCATCCAGGACGATGTGTTTTACATAATCATAGCTGCTTTAATGAGGATGCCCTAATTAGGGTTTCTGCTTTTGGACAGATCATCTTGGACGATATAAATATCATCCCGGATGATGTTACCAAAAATATAAATATTTAGGGAGCAACAGAAAATCTTCCAAGTTACAAAATATCAAGAGCCACACCAAACACAATAGACTCAAGAAAGGAAAAAGTGTACAAACTGACTCAGACCTAGTCTACCCAATCTTGAGCTGGTTCCAAATTGCAGTCTGATCGTGTGGACCTGAAATGTTAGTAAACAAGGTCATCGTAGAGAAATAAGAGTGTTTGCTATCATCAAAATCATAAACCATGAAAACAGATCCGCAACACCCCTCACTAGGTCTATTATTACTAAAATTACACTCCATATATTCTATTTTAGATCTACTCAAGTGAGAACCTTTAGAATCTAAGGCTGACCTCCATAATTCAAATTTACCTTCAACTCCCTCTCTAATCTTATCAACAAGAATATCATCGGCAAAAAGCATACACCAAGGTACATCCTCTTACAAATGTCTAGTGAGAAATCCATGCCTAAAGCAAAAATATATGGGCTTAAGGATGATCCTTGAATGTAGCCCAATCGAAATAGGGAAATACTTAGTCAAACCATCTTGTGTTTGAACACAAGTAATATCTCCTGCATATATATCTTTAATGATTTTAATATAAGTGTTAATAACTCCTTTCTTTTCAAGAACTCTCCATAGCACTTCTCTTGGAACTTTATCATATGTTTTTTCTAAATCAATAAATATCATATGAAAATTTTCATTTTCTCTATATTTCACCATCAAACCTCTAAATAAATGTATGGCTTCCATAGTCGACCTACCCGGCATGAATCCAATTTGATTTTGAGAAACATTAGTATCACACCGCAACCTATGCTCCATAACTCACTCCCATAGTTTTAAAGTATGACACATTAACTTAATTTTTTTATAATTCGTACAATCTTGCACATCATTTTTAGTCTTAAAAATAGGAATTAACACACTCATTCTCCACTCATCTGACATCTTTTTTATCTTCAAAATAATATTCAAAAGTTTAGTAAGCCAAGAAATTCCTTCATCTCCTAAGCATTTCCACACTTCTATTGGAATATCATCAGGTCCAACATCTTTTCCACCCTTCAAGCCTCTCTAAGTTCGGTTTTACTAATACACCGATAAAAATAGAAATCTTTATTTTCATTTATGGTGTTAAGGTCACTACAATTAATCGTATTTTCACATTCTTCATTAAAAAGTTTAGCAAAATAACTCATTCACCTTTTATTGAATATCATCTTCTAAAAAAAGTACTTTACACTCATTCAAACACCACAAAAATATTTTTTATTCACTGCTTCTCTTTTATAGTGCATTAATTTTTTTTACAGTGCATTAATTTTATACCACAATCTTTTTTTTTAATAAAATGAATGCATTATAAAAAGAAACAATGTATAAAAATATTCTTGGAGTTAACCTCATATAGTTTTAGATAAATAATTACAAAATTTGAGTAAATATTCTACGTCTACATAATAATTTTTATATAGAGAAATAAAAGAAAAATATATAAATGATTTCTTAAAACTAGCTCTATTAAACTCTTTTTATTTTTATTATATATTAAATAATATCTATTATATCATTATTTTTTTGGCCACTTGGGGGGAGTAGTCCTAAGAAGAAGAAATTATTGGGTCAGGTCACTGGACGTTTTCAGAGCCCAATTAAAATGCGCCTAATTACCTCCTACTCATCGATCACCATCACCCGCCACCGTCGGCCACCATTGATGCCACCGACCACTAGTCTATGTCATATCACTGTCGGTTACTACCACCTATTGCCGACCATTGCCACTTGTTGCTAGCTACAACCACTTGAGGGCCATCTCCACCATAATCGTCATCGTGCGTTGCCATAATCTTTAGAATTCACATTACATTCATTTTACTTCAAACTAATAAATAAAAAAAATATTCACATGCATTTATTTTACACTCATTCAAACAACAACAACATTAAGCCTTTATCCCACTACGTGGGGTCGGCTACACGAATCCTTTTTCTCCATTATGTCCTATTGAAAGTCAAATTCTCATTTAAATCTAATAAAGAAATATTATTTCTAATATTTTCTAACCAAGTCTTTTTAAGTATTCCTCTACCTTTCTTAACATAAGTCAAATCTAATACCTCTACTTTCATAATTGGGTCATCGGAAGGCTGTCGTTTTATGTGACCAAACCATTTAAGGGGACTATCTCTAAACTTATCTTCTACTAGAGCTACTCCAACCTTTTCATGTATATGATCATTTCGTTTTCTATCTCTAAGGGTAAAGCCACTCATCCACCTGAGCATCTTCATCTATGCTACACTTAACTTAGTATTATGCTTCTCTTTTAATGGCTAACATTCGGCACTATAAAGTATTGCAGGCCTCACCACCATCCTATAGATTTTTCCCTTAAGTTTGAGGGGTACTTTTTTTATCACACAACAAGTCTGATGCATTCCTGCACTTGAACCTCCATAATTCAAATTTACCTTCAACTCCCTCTCTAGTCTTATCAACAAGAAGAATATCATCGGCAAAAAGCATACACCAAGGTACATCCTCTTGCAAATGTCTAGTGAGAAATCCAAGACTAAAGCAAAAATATATGGGCTTAAGGATGATCCTTGATGTAACTCAACCGAAATAGGGAAATACTTAGTCAAACCACCTTGTATTTGAACACAAGTAATATCTCCTGCATATATATCTTTAATGATTTCAATATAAGTGTTATTAACTCCTTTCTTTTCAAGAATTCTCCATAGCACTTCCCTTGAAACTTTATCATATGTTTTTTCTAAATCAATAAATATCATATGTAAATTCTCATTTTCTCTATATTTCACCATCAAACCTCTAAATAAATGTATGACTTCCATAGTCGACCTACCCGGCATGAATCCAATTTGATTTTGAGAAACATTAGTATCAAACCGCAACTTATGCTCCATAACTCACTCCCATAGTTTTAAAGTATGACACATTAACTTAATTCTTTTATAATTCATACAATATTGTGCATCATTTTTAATCTTAAAAATAGGAATTAACACACTCATTCTCCACTCATCTGATATCTTTTTAGTCTTCAAAATAATATTCAAAAGTTTAGTAAGCCAAGAAATTTTTTCATCTCCTAAGCATTTCCACACTTCTATTGGAATATCATCAGGTCCAACATCTTTTCCACCCTTCAAGCCTCTTTAAGTTCGGTTTTACTAATACGCCGATAAAAATAGAAATCTTTATTTTCATTTATGGTGTTAAGGTTACTACAATTAATCGTATTTTCACATTCTTTATTAAAAGGTTTAGCAAAATAATTCATTCACCTTTTATTGAATATCATCTTCTAAAAAAAGTACTTTACATTCATTCAAACAACACAAAAATATTTTTTATTCACTGCTTCTCTTTTATAGTGCATTAATTTTTTTAACAGTGCATTAATTTTATACTACAATCTTTTTTTTAATAAAATGAATGCATTATAAAAACGAAACAGCGTATAAAAAATTCTTGGAGTTAACCTCATATAGTTTTAAATAAATAATTACAAAAGTTGAGTAAATATTCTGTGTACATAATAATTTTTATATAGATAAATAAAAGAAAAAATTATAAACGATTTCTTCAAACTTGCTATATTAAACTCTTTTTATTTTTATTATATATTAAATAATATATATTATATCCTTATTTTTTTGGCCACTTGGGGGGAGTAGTCCTAAGTAGAGGAAATTATTGGGTCAGATCACCGGACATTTTCAGAGCCCAATGAAAATGCGACAAATCACCTCTTACTTGATACTAAGCAGTACCAAGCAATATCAGTACCGAGCTCAGTACTGCTCGGTACTCTATACTTCAGAGTACCGAGCTCAATCTGCTCAGTACTGTAAATACCAAATATAAGCTGTGTCCAATAACCTGACCCAATAATTTCCCTCTAAGTAGGGCAGCAAAAGCTTGACTAATCTTGACAAGGACACCATTCACCTCCGTCAAGTGACGGAACGGAAAAGTCAACTATTCAAATAGAGCAATTTCTTTTGCGACGCTGTCGTACTGTTTGTTTATTCTACATTTTTACTCTTAGCCGAATTTAACGAAACTTTGAGATCCGCCTCACGGACACCAGAGCGAATATTAGCGGCCGGCGATTAGTAAAAAAGTATCTGATCTGTGCTTAGAAAGGGTAAGATTACATCGATCTGTTTCTTTCTCGTACGTCGTATACCCTTCCTACAGCATTTGAGTTCATATACCACCGTTCTTTTGGTTTCTCTCGTTTTCTTTCTCATTCGAACTAGGATTTTGCTAGCATTTATCTGCTCAGGATTTGAGATTAGAACTACTCATTTAAGAGTTTCTGATAGAGATCTATGAGTCTGTCGGGGGAGTCTTGTGGGTATCTTCAATTTGCTTCGGTGCGTAAGCTTATGTTTTAGGGAATCCTTGTGCGAGCTTGGGTTTCAGGGGAAAGCTCTCACTTTTGCTGTATCGTGCCGCCTGGATTGTGCAGGCATGGAGCTCTTATCTGGTAACTTTATGAAACTTTCCTAATTTTTGAAGTGATGGGTGTTATCTTTCTTAAATTTTCTGGATCTGGTTTATATATATTATACATGCTTTCGGTAACTTGCCTGCTTCTGAAGTGCTTTTATGGCAATATCGTTTAGATCAGTTACTAAATTGTTTGAGAAGGTTACTCGATTACTGAGCTGTCGGATTATTGAGTCTTGTGAGTCAAAAAGTATATAGATCCCTCATGTAACACCAGATAAGTCAACGTGACGATGAAAGATGATTCAGGGACCAACACCAGCTCGTTGCGATAATGCTAATGATGATGATTATATATCAGATTATGAAGATCTGTACCTCCATCAGAAATTTAATTTGTTTTGTCTGCCAGCAAAAGAAAGAATATCTATCGTTTGATATTATTTTTCTTTTTTAGTTTTAATCAGTATTATTTCTAATTTTTTGTCTTAATTGAAGTTTTGTTTAGTTAAATCTGTATAGTATTATCTTGTATGATCATGTTTATTACAATCGTAGGAAATTTTAGATTGTTGAAAAATAGGAGAAATAAGATTTTTCGAGAGCAGTCTTTTTATCAGTATTTTAATTAACTGTTTTTTTTTTCATTGATCAGTATGTAATGTTGTTGTTATCAGCATAATATACCTACCAATGCCTTAACACTTGACCACTATTGATCCAATAAACAATCTATGCCAAACATGCTGCAAACGTTGCAGTATCATGCATCATTATTGGGCGTTTTGGTTATGTTGAACTATCTTTGGTGAATGGCTGCCAGAATTTCTGCATATACCTGCAGAAGTTGGTTGAACAATTAGATGGTCTATGCATTTGTGCCATCAGGTTCAGCATAGAAAGTGATAGGCCTCTCCTAACACTTTTTGATAGATACATCGTCAGAGTTGAATCCTAGCCCTTTAAAGGCCTCCAAAAGTACTAATCTACTATTGCTTCTTTTGGCTCTCTGTGATTCTCACTAAAAAGTAATTTATCAAAAAGCAAGATGAAAGTCAAAGCTAAACAGTGCAAAAAGATGGCCCCCTTTGTAATAGCAAACTCAAGTTTAGTTAATCTAAACTGGTGCTCATGCATGTGTTTGCAACATGGAATCTCTTAAGATTCAACTTAGTAGGTATTCAATTTGTTAAGTGATGCAGTGTAGGTGGGAGTTGATATATTATGTATTCTTCATACATATGGTAGATTATTTAGACAGGGCCTTAAGGCAAGTGCAGGTGAAATTTCATTTCATCACCTATTCTTTCGTTTGTTCCTTCTATGTATAGTTCAATCTTTGGTCTAATTAGTATGAACGTAGCTATTTTGGTGCAAATTAAACTGATTCACGGAATTAAGTTCATGAATTACCGAAAATTAGCATTTTGGAGCTTGTTCTTTCTTGTCATTTGCAATCAAATTTGTATATAAGATATGTTCTTAGCAGCATTTACTGGATGGCATCTAGGTTGTTGACTCTATGTCTTCATTTACAAGCAATTCAATTTCTAAGTTCCTCATCACGTGAATTTGTCTTGTTTTCTAAGATTCCTTTACAATAAGTTTTTCTTTTCTAGGGGGCCAATCTGAGATCAATATTGAAGAATATAATTTTTCCTCGAATAAAGAAATTAATATATTCATTTGAATTATTGCCCTTCACTTGGCTGAGACCTATTACCATGATTAAGTCTGTGCTCTTCACGATAATGCTGCAGAATTATTTTTTAAATAGACGAATGAGTATATTCCTATGTTTTAATTATACAATTGTAAAAGATATATCAATTATTTGTTTAGCATTAAGAAGCATGGAAAAGAAAACATTTGTTCCTTTCGCTGTGTAGATAGGAGGAGACTTGTACATGGAAAGAAAGTATTATGATGCTACAATGGCATAATTTTATGCTTGTAAACTTAATATTTTGGTTTTATTTTCATTCCCTTATGTACGCTGTCAGTTCTAGATTTTTGGTATGCAATCAAATGCAGTTCTCATATATCCAATATTCTATCTAGAATTACACGCTACTGGGAAGTGTCTTATATGAAAAGCCAGAAATTCCTAATGGAAATAGTGTACTCTACCTTAAGTTTGCTCAAAAGGGAACCTTTTTGAAAAACCTCTTATGATGTATTAGGTATCATATGTTTTTAATTAAAGATTATGTATTGTATGAAAATTTATTTAAAAAGAATATTTATGTTTTTCATTTATTTTAAGATACTTTCTTATAGGCTGTTAACAATTCAATCAGAATCAACTTGATTTAAGATCAAGTCAAAGTTATTTGATTTGATCTCATATTGAGCAAAGTCTTGTTATAAGCTAGCGTGATTCCATTTTTTGAGCAATCTTCAATTTGCTAAGTAAAATTTAAAATGACAAATTAGTAAATTGAATAAATAAAATTATTTATAAATAATAGTTTTTTAAATCTTTAATTATTGTTTTAACACTTTATAATTAGATAAACTTTTTAATAATTGGGAGATATTTTTTCTAATTGATTATTTATAAACTAAGAAAAGACGAATAAAATTTGAACATCCTGTATAAGTTATATTGGATATATTCAACATTTTGAAACGAACTCATTTTGAAATTGAGCTATCAACTTTTGTTAAGCTTTAAAAGGGGTAAAGCTTTCTCTTTGATTGTCTCTTTTTTAAAGTTAAATGTAGAATATATTAAAATATTTTCATAATTAGAAAAGATAAGTTATTTTAATTAAGATTAGAATGCAACATGATATATAAATTAGCTTAGATATTAAATTGATTGGATCAATGTGACTTTACTCTTTTGGGCGCTTTAAAATATAAAAAAATGTCAATTTTGGGGAAGTTCCCATTTTCAAAATAGAGCATTTCTGCTCTTCAATTTTTGGAGGAAAATTTCTCCATTATTGTGCCTTTGTAAGATGTATATTTATTAGTCTCAAGAAAGGAGAGGGAGAGGTAATGGGGTCTAACAGTTGGTTCATCCCGTTAGTTCCTTAGTCTGAACTAGTTTGATTTTTGGTTGGATTTGTATGATATTATTCATGTTTACTGCACTCTCTCTGTAGGGAATCCAAAATTTTTTCAATTCATCCCCATTGTTTTTTATTTTATTGAATGAAAGTTTTGTTCTATGTTAAGAAAGGTGGAGGTAGACCTAAAAAGCCTTGATTAGAAAGTATTAGAAACGACCTTTCTGTTACGCCGGCCCAGGAGGGGCCGGCTGGACCGGTCCGGGTCTACTCGCGACGGAACCGAACGAAGCAGGCGGAACCGAGCGGAGGGAGCGAAGCCGACGGGGGCCAGGGAAGAATTTTGGGAGGGAAATTTTGAATGCGAGGGGCTGTTTAGACATTTTGTAAAACTCCTTTATGGTTAATTAGGAGGTTAGGAGGAAAAGGGGGATTATCTTGATTTTGAATTTCTTGGGAGATCTAGGTTTGTTCTTGGGCTCTTGGCTTTGCCGGAGATCGTGGAGAGCGCTTCCTTCCTCTCGAATTGAAGGAAGATTGTATCTTGCAAGTGCTTTTATCTACTATTGAAATAAAAGTGTTTGTTTTGTTTTCCTACGAATTTCCATTGAGTTTTCTCTCCGTTTTCCACTGTTTGGGCTGTGTTCTTGCTACGGACAGCAGTTTCTTTGCTTAGGTACTTGATTTGGGTTAGGTTTACTTGTGCAAACGAGTATTTCCTATCAAATTGATATCAGAGCGAGATCCGGACGGTGGAGGGTTGTTTTTTCCACTGTTTCGCTGCAGATTTTGGGTTGTCGGAGGCTGTTTTCCCCTGAAAACAGCAGTTTTTAGGGTTTTTGAGAGCAGCAGTTGAGTAAAATAGCAGATTTTGACTGTTTGGAGGGAGATTATTGCTGTCTGGAAGATTTTCTTTGCGGATCCGGAGGCATCTCGTTGGTTCCCATGGCATCTAAGCGGGTAGAAGTCTTGGAGACCTAGATGGGTCAACTTAAGGCGGATCTGGAAGAGAAGATGGCCACATTTAGCGAGAATGTGGAAGGGAAATTCATGGCCTTGGAGGAGATGATGAAGAAGTTGTTGGAGAGACAAGCACGGGCGGTGCCAGCGGAGGAAAGAGGAGAAGGTAGTGGGAGCAGGGGTAAGGAGATGGTGAATCCAGAAGAGGAATAGGAGGTAGAACTGCTTGACAGCAACGGGAGGATGCCACCTCGGGAGTCCATTAGGCGAGAAGAACATGACAGAAGGAGAGACTTCCGGGAAGGAAGAGAAGATGATTGGCGACGTCCGAGGCCCGACCCATTGGACCGGCCGTGGGGGATCTATAACCACCATGGCGGGGCACGAGGGGAAGATGGCTACCGGCGGCCAAGGAGGGAGGATGAGCCCCGATATGGAGAAAGAGGAACTTGGGAAGACCCCATAACTTGGGACAGAGGAGGCCATGGGGGAATAGGGCATACGGGGTGGACACGAGGGCCAAGAAGCTAAAAATGTCAGTATTCGAGGAGGAAAATGTGGATGAGTGGATCCACAAGGTGGAGAGGTATTTTGCAGTGAACGGCCTGATGGAGGAGGAGAGATTGATGGCTATTAGTATGTGCTTGGAAGGAGCGACATTTGCCTGGTTCAAGTACATGGATAAGTGGGAACCGGTGAGGTCCTGGAGGGACTTCAAGGAGGCTATCAGGGAGAGATTCAGGGGGAGCAGCCCATGGGAGATATCAGAACAGTTCTACGCCCTCACTCAAGAGGGAACAGTGGAGGAATACAGGAAGAAATTTGAGAGTTTAGTGGGAGACATGGAGGGCCTCTCAAACAGTACTTTGGGGGGAAATTTTATGAAGGGCCTCAAACCAGAAATTAGAGATGCTGTGAAGGTTATGAGATCAAGAAACCTGAGGGAGGCGATGGAATTGGCTCAGTTGATGGAGAATCAGAAGACCAACGCCCGAAATTGGAGAAACAACCACTCAGGAGGTCCCGCCAGGACAACTACCACTTACTTGGCTCCAAAAGGGCCAAGCCCCAGCGTCCCTAGGGAGAGTGGAAAGGAGAAGAGCGGGGTGACCAGATCTGCTGGAAGCTTCAAGAAATTGACTGAGGAAGAGATGCAGGAGAAGAGGGCCAAGGGCCTTTGTTTCAGATGTGAGAGAAGTTTGTTCCATGGCACAGGTGCAAGGATCGCGCCCTTCGAGCTCTCACCGTCTATATGGACGAGGCGCCTGAAGAATGTGATGATTCTGATGAGGAGCAGATTGATCCCCAGTTGGAGGTAGCCGAAGTCTCCCTCAATTCTGTGTTGGGATTTACTCCTAGCCATACGATGAAGGTGAAGGGAAGATCCTTGGGAGGGAGGTAGTGGTCCCTGATTGATAGTGGGGCAACCCACAATTTCATATCCACCTAGGTGGCTGAGAAGTTAGGATGGAGCCTACTGAGATAGGCAGTTATGGGGTGATGATGGGGACATGAAAGATTGAGTTCAGCACCGGGATCTGCAAAGGGGTGGAGATGAGGCTACTGGAGATCAGGGTGGTAGAGGACTTCCTACCCCTGAAGTTGGGTAGCACAGATGTCATTCTGGGCATGAAGTGGCTACAGACCTTGGGTGAAACCAAGGTGAACTGGGGGACCATGGTGATGGAGCTGATTGTAGAGGGGAAGAGGGTGAAGCTAAAAGGGGAACTAGGATTGTCCAGAAGCTGGAGTGTCACTCAGATCAATGGCGAAAATCATCCATGGAGGAGGATATCCTTTGTGGAGCTGCAGAGCCTAGAGGAGCAGGAGGAGGGGGAGGAAAGCTCATTCCCACGTTGGTTCAGCCTATTCTGCAGGAATTTGAGGATGTTTTCCAACCTCCGGTGGGACTACCACCTGACAGAGAGCAGGAGCACCAAATTATCCTAAAGAGGGAGTATTCTCCTATCAGTGTGAGGCCTTACAGATACCTTCAGGTGCAGAAATATGAGATTGAGAAGCTGGTGGGAGAAATGCTAGGAGGGATCATTCAGCCCAGTGTGTGCCCTTTCTCTAGTCCAGTTCTGCTTGTGAAAAAGAAGGATGGGAGTTGGAGGTTCTGTGTAGACTATAGAGCTCTCAACAAGGAGATTGTGCCTGATAAGTTTCCTATCCCTGTGATTGACGAGTTGATGGATGAGCTACATGGAGCAGCCTTGTTCACCAGGTGATCTGAAGTCAGGCTATCACCAGATTCGGACGAGGAAGGAAGATGTGCAGAAGATGGCCTTTAGGACTCATGAGGGCCACTACGAATTTCTGGTGATGCCTTTTGCCTCACCAACGCACTCTGCCACATTCCAGGCCTTGATGAACCGGATCTTCAAGCCACACCTCGCAGTTTGTGTTGGTATTTTTGATGACATACTATCTATAGGCAGGACTGAGGAGGAACACCTAGAGCACCTGAGGGATGGGTGGTGGTTGTCTAAGGGAGCACAGCTGAAGGCCATCCTTCAAGAAGTGTGACTTCGCTCAGCACGGGTGGAGTACCTGGGGCATGTGATATCCCAGGAGGGAGTTGCTGCAGATCAGTCCAAGATAGAGGCAATGCTGGCATTGGCCTCACCCAAGACCTTGAAGGGCTCAGAGGATTCTTGGGATTGACAGGACTACTACAGAGGTCGGAGGGGATACAGTACCATAGCGTGGCCACTGACAGAGCAGTTGAAGAAGGACAACTTTTTATGGGGAGAAGCAGCTTCAGAGGCTTTTGAGAAGCTGAAGAAGGCCATGACGACAGTGCCAGTGCTTGCTCTGCCGGACTTCAACCAGGTGTTTGTGGTGGAGACAGATGGTTCAGGCTATGGATTGAGGCAGTGTTTGATGCAGAACCACAGACCCATAGCTCTTCAGTCAAGTACTGTCGTTCCCGGGCTAGGTGAAAGTCTATCTACGAGAGAGAGCTGATAGCTATTGTATTGCCTTCCAGAAGTGGAGACTTACTATTGGACGACACTTTATTGTCAGGACTGATCAGAGGAGCCTGAAGTACTTGTTAGAGCAAGATGGTGACTGAAGAGCATCAGCGGTGGCTTTCAAAATTGCTGGGTATGACTTTGAAATTCAGTATAACAGGCGGGGGAAACAAAGCCGCTGATGTTTGTCCAGATGTTTGGTGTGAACTACAGACAGTGGTTGTGTCTGTTCCTTGATGTTAGATTGGCGCGGAATCAAGTAGAGAGCTCGAAAAGATGAGGGTTGGGAAAGATTCAGCTGATTTATTAGGAAGTGATAGCCACCGCAGGGTACTCATTAGAGGGGACAGATGCTGTATCAAGGGAGGTTCGTGATGCCCAGGACTTCTATCCACATCCCAAACATACTCCAAGAATTTCATGGAGCGCGGTTGGGGTCATTCTGGGTGCGAAGACCTATAGGAGGATTGCTGCTGAGCTTTATTGGAAGGAATGCATAGAGATGTAGAGGAGATGGTGGCCAGATGTGAGATTTGTCAGAGGAACAAAACATGGCTATGTCACAGGGGGCTACTACAGCCATTGGCGTTATCAGGACGAGTGTGGGAGAAATATCCATGGACTTCATAGATGGGCTCCCGTTTAGAAGGCGTTCACAGTGATCCTGGTGGTGGTGGATAGACTGAGCAAGTATGCTCATTTTATTCCCTCCGAATCCTTACACCGCAGTAGACAGTGGGCTTCAGCTTTCATCAGAGAGGTTGTCAGGTTGCATGGGGTACCAGAGGCAATAGTGGTCGCGATAGAGGACAAGGTGTTCCCAGTCACTTTTGGAGGAGCTTGTTCAGGTTACAAGGAACAGTTTTGAAAGGAGCACCGCTTATCACCTACAGACAGATGGCCAAACGGAGGTGTAACAGGATCCTGGAACATTATTGAGATGTTTGTGTCGGAGACCCTAAGCTTTGGCCAAATGGCTACCTGGGCAGAATACTGTACAACACCTCTTTTCATCCTCAGCTTCACAGATGACGCCATTTCAAAGTACTGTAGGGAAAGGATCCTCACACTTGTGCATTTTGGGAGTAACAGCACTCCTGTGTCGTCAGTAGAAGAGTACTTAGAGAGAGAGATCGAGTTACTTGAAGAGCTAAAGAGACATCTACTGAGAGCACAACAAATTATGAAGAAGCAAGCAGATGGGCATAGGAAGGACATACAGTTTGCAGCAGGGGAGAGGGTGTTTCTGAAGCTCGGACCATATAGACAGAAGATAGTTGCCAACAAGAGGAATGAAAAGCTGGCTCCAAGGTACTTTGGGCCATATGAAGTGCTGGAGAAGATTGGGTCAGTAGCATACAGATTGAAACTACCTCCATCGGCAACTATATATCCAGTTTTTCACGTGTCACAATTGAGAAAGGCCATTGGGGAGTACACCGCCAATTCTGAGCTACCAGCAACCCTGACTGAGGACTTAGAGGTGATTTTAGAACCTATGGAGCTAAAAGGGGTGCGCCAGAAAGAAGATAAAACTAAGGAAGTATTGATCCAGTGGAAGAACCTTCCTGACTACGAGGTCACGTGGGAACCATATGAGAGGACGAAAAGCAGTTTCCTGATTTTCACCTTGAGGACAAGGTAATTTTTTGGGAGGGCGGTAATGTTACGCCGGCCCAGGAGGGGCCGGCTGGACCGGTCCGGGTCTACTCATGACGGAACCGAACGAAGCAGGCGGAACCGAGCGGAGGGAGCGAAGCCGACGGGGGCCAGGGAAGAATTTTGGGACGGAAATTTTGAATGCGAGGGGCTGTTTAGACATTTTGTAAAACTCCTTTATGATTAATTAGGAGGTTAGGAGGAAAAGGGGGATTATCTTGATTTTGAATTTCTTGGGAGATCTAGGTTTGTTCTTGGGCTCTTCGCTTTGCCGGAGATCGTGGAGAGTGCTTCCTTCCTCTCGAATTGAAGGAAGATTGTATCTTGCAAGTGCTTTTATCTACTATTGAAATAAAAGTGTTTGCTTTGTTTTCCTATGAATTTCCATTGAGTTTTCTCTCCGTTTTCCACTGTTTGGGCTGTGTTCTTGCTGCGGACAGCAGTTTCTTTGCTTAGGTACTTGATTTGGGTTAGGTTTACTTGTGCAAACGAGTATTTCCTATCACTTTCCTTATTAGATTTAAATTATAATTTGATTCTTAATATGATACAATGCAGAAATAATGATTTAGGTAACCGGCCCCACATTGTGGGATAAAGGCTTGATATTGTTTTTGTTGAATGAAAGTGTGTTTCAGCCTTTGTTATATGATTTTAGATCCATGCCTTTGGCAGAGTTGATAACATTTGAAACTTAAATCTGTAAGTGGGTATGTTTGACTTCCTCTGGTTTCACCATCTTTGGTGCATAAGATTAAAAGTAAATTGTTTTGTTGACCATGTATACCGTTTAACTTTTTTTAATTTTAATTTTCTATTTTTCTTTCTTTGAATGCTAGAATAGCTAATTTAATGATGATATGACTTACACATGTCTCTGTTCTTTATAAGCCCTCATATTTTCATTATGTGCTGTCTTTCAGAATGTTCAATTCCATTCATAAGCTTAATCAAACTCCATTTATCTTACCTTGCAATTGTTATAATTTGTGATCTGCAGGGATTCCACAACAATGATATTGATTTCAAGTACTCTTTAGATGAAGTTTTGAAATACTATTTGAGCATTGAGTTCAGGTGAACATGCCTTTCTCATTAATCCTTTTTCAACATATATTGTGTTGATGCAATTGATTGTTCTTCTGAAAACAACTGTGTTGGGTGTATTGTAGTTTGATCTGCTTTGTCCTGGGAATTGTGTATTTATTAATTTTGAAGAATTGCACAAGTTTTTGTTATTTACATGCTATGTGGTTGATACATTCTATTCTTGTTTGGGTAGACTCAAACCCCTAGATGTCGTGTCGTTCCATCATTCGAGATGTAAGAGATGGTTTTGGGAGTTTGTCAAGACGTGGCTTTGAAGTGCGACTTACAGGTCATCACAAGGGAAAATCTCAGAGTTCTGTCCATGAGCTGCATGAACCACCTGCAGGAATCCAGCAGAGTCGCTGGGCCAACCTTCCTCCTGAACTTCTTTGTGATGTGATTAGAAGGCTGGAGGCAAGTGAAAGTACATGGCCTTCAAGGAAACATGTTGTTGCATGTGCTGCTGTTTGCAGACCATGGAGGGAATTGTGCAAAGAAATTGTCATTAGTCCAGAGCTCTCCGGGAAGCTCACCTTCCCTGTTTCCTTGAAGCAGGTAGCTATGAAAACTCATGGTGCTATGTTCAACTTTTTGTGAATCCAATTTCGTATGCTTGTGGCTCACCCACATGTTCTCTATTGTAACAACATTTTAAGTTTCTTCTTATGGAATAATCTCACGGTATGTGGCCTTTTAACTTGTATATTCTTTCTACTGACTTTTACAGCCTGGTTCTCGAGATGGAATGATCCAATGCTTCATTAAGAGGGACAAGTCAAAATCAACCTATCGTCTTTACCTCTGTCTTAGCCTTGGTAACCTCACTTTTCAACTGTTTCAAGCAGCTTTTGCTTTTTATACAAAATTTATAAGAAATCTGTGCCGGAGTTCTATTTAAATCAAATTGTTTTATAATAGGATTCTTTACTTGAATTCCATCTATTCGTATTTCAGTTTTTTGTAAATTACCACCTACGGCAAAACAGCTTAACTGAATAAGTCATTAAATATTATCAAGCTCAGTTCTACAGTAGCTCTCCATGTTTTTTTTTCCCTTCAATGATGTAATAAAGCAATGAATAATTTGATTGTTTCCTATCCTTTGAATATTAATGTTGAATAAGAGAATCATTTGGTACTTGTACTATAATCTGCAGTGTCAGCAATCTATTTTCTTTGCTATCCTTGTTGGTAGAGTTCATTGTTTCTTCTTAATATTCTGTTTTTAACAGAATGGATTTTTTCTGTCAAATTTGCTTTTTCCATTTAGCTTATTTTGGTTGTTGGCAGTGTCATTTTTTGTTAAGCAGTGATTCAACCTCACATAGTCTTTTAATCTTTTTTTCTTTTTGATTTTTTATACCTTAATTATTCATAAACAGAAAGTGAGTTTACTCCCTTGTGTTATGTTGAGGTTAACTGTATGTGGTTTTGTCCCACGTTATCAAAATGGTATATGAGATGGTACCGATATGTTGATGTTAAGGTATGTTAGAATATTGGATTTAACTGGTATTGCTTAGCAAGTTGCTTTGAAACTAGTGGTTCAATGGTATTAAGTTTTTTCATGTCCTTTGTGTCTATTATTGACCGTGAAGGGTTTCTATCATGGTCGATCAAGGTTCAAGAGAATACTTCCATGGAGACTCCATGTAGTTGTGTGGGCTCTTGTAGCATGTCACTTTGCGATATTGAGAAAGCTTTTGTTTGAGAGTGATGTATAATATGAAGAGTTGTCCTATGAGGAGGAAATTGTTAAGACTAGTTGCCAACTATTTTGCCCCATATTGAAAATTAGTAAATAAATTGTTTTTCCATCTTATATTTTCAATAAATTCTTCTCTCAAGGAACCAAAAACTGTTTGAGTTAAATCAAATTGGTCTATAAATTAGGACACTTTGTTGGAATCAATTGGCCCTCTTAAGCTGAATTGGTATCCCTTTGTATAAAGTTGGATGGTTACATTATTAGTCTTCATGTCAATCATATGCCCATATTAATTTTTGGGTTTTTAGATCCTACTTCGCCCTACATCTCTTCCACATAGAGCCTTTGCTGCACTTTTTACATCCTCAACATACCTCTTTCACCTTTATGTTTCTCCGTTTCTCCCTCATTTATGGGCGTGCTTTTGCACGTGTATGTTGCTTGTGGTATTGTTCATGGTTTAAAATTGCGAAATATGAGGCTCGCCTTTGCGCAATTCCAGTAAAAAACGCCTCGATGCTTACGCCTCAAGTTTTTTTTTTTATGAGGCTTGCACCTCAACTTGGTTGAGGCCCGCCTCGCCTCACTGGCATGAGGCTTACGCCTCACGCTATATATATTAAAACTTACATAAATCTTGAAGTAAATGTCCGACATTGGATTCTATAGGAGAGGAGGAAGGGGAGAGAGCAGTTCATCATAATGATGATTCAAATGAAGAACCCCTTAGTGATGACAGTGCTGATGACTTATGAGTTCTTATGTGATATGTCATTGCTATTTATTTTTGGAAATTTGAATTATATGTTAATGAAAAGATTACTGGGATTTGGGAAAGATAGAATTTTGAGTTGAACTATATTTCAGGTTGTCTTATTATTGGGATATTTTGATTTCACATAATATCTTATGCTTTTTTATGTTTTATATTATTCACTCATTAGTATATAAAAAAATTATCATTTTATGTTTACGCAATCTTTTCATTTTGAGGCTTACGCCTCAAAACGCCTTGAGGCTTACGCCTCGCCTCACGAATGAAAAACGCCTCAATACCCGAATACACAATTTTAAACATTGGTATTGGTAGATAGGAAGAAGAAAATAACATATGAATGATTGGGTAGAAAATGGTCGACTGAGGGTTGGGATTCCAAACATGTACAAGCTAAACACCCACCCATGTACTTTCCTCTCTGCTTCCCTTACTCGATTCATCTATATATCTATATGTCTATATCTATCTTACAACTAATACAGGTGGAGGGGGAAGGTGAAGAGGGGAGTGGAAGGGTTGATGGAAGACTAAAAAGAAGAAGCGGTGTTTGACTACACAATATTTGAGCCATTTTCATCTTTAATTTTCTATTGTTATTTGGTGGTGGTGAGTGCTTATAGATAGGAGGTTGTGGAAATATATGTGAAATTAATAAGGCTAGTGATTGGACTCTGACAAATGAAGAAGCGGTGTTTGACTACACAATACTTAAAAGAAAAAGGAAAACTATTTATACCATTTGAATTGATCACACTCATATAAGATCTTGAGAGGAATTTCCACCCCAAATGTAGACTTTATGCCATTTACATCTTGCAAGAATTTACTTCACCCAAATCTTGAGAGGGATTTCCGTCCAAGCTTATGGATTGTCACATTGGACCGCAAGCTTGTAACCTTTTGGATCGTGAAGCAGCCTCGAAGGAAGAAACTGCCAACAAATTTCCTTAAATTACGAAGTATATATTTTTCATGCCTAACTTAGAGGTGATGTTGGGAACGTAGAGTTTGATAGTCCTTCGGTTAGGATGTCAACCAACTATTTGTTTTTGGATATATGAAATATATCACCTTTAATTTTTCCTTGATGAAATGTTGATACTTTTTTATGTGCTTAGTTTGGTTATGTTGGATTCGGCTGTGTAGTATTGACGTTTGATTTATTTTCACCGTATAACATCATAGTATCTTCCCATTTTATTCCCAAGTCATTCAAAATAATTTTGATCTAGAACAGTTCAAAAGATTCCTCAGGCCATTGCTTGAAATCTAACTTTAGCTCTCAGTTTAATTACCAGTAATTTCTTCTTGTTTTCCTTCATGATTAGATTTCCTATTGAATGTTGTAGAAATCAATAGTAGATTATTTATATGTGAGGGATCTTCATAAATGAACATCTTTGCATGCTCTTCTAAATTGAGTCTTTTATTTCTCTCTTATATAAGATTCCTTTGTTTTGTTTTCCCTGGAGGTATTGAAGAGTATTATTTTTCAATTTTGTTTGCGCTTCTTTATGATTATGCATTATTTGCTTAACATATTTATAGCATATATCATCGATTAAAAAGGCGTTCGAGGCGGACGCCTCGAGGCGCGCCTCGAATCGAGGCGGAGGTCGGGCGAACTGAGGCTTAAGCCTCGAACGCTCGGGCGAGGCTTACTCCTTTTTCCACGGAGGCGTACGCCTCACCGCGTGAGGCGTCGAGTCGCATCGAGGCAGCGCCTCGAAAGTGAGAAAGTTACCTTCACAGTCAGCGAGCTCCCGTTGTTTCTTCCGATCAAAATGTTGTAGCTTACGATTCGGCAGGAAAGGGAAAGTCGTCGAAGGAGCAAAGTCGAACAGCCACGAAGGAGCTAAAGAAGCGACGCGTGCAATCTCTACACTTCCTGTGAAGCAACGAAGCCGAACAGCAAGGACGAAAAGAGAAGATGAAAGGCAAACCGTAGACACAACTAAGTTATTATTGATTAACTTAGTTAATATAATTAGCCTAATTAATATAAATTACATATAAATTATGCGGTATGCTCGGTACTGAGTTGTACATGCTCGGTACTGAGCGGTACATGCTCGGTACTGAGCGGTACATGCTCGATATTGAGCATATACAACAAGCAGAATTTCAAAATTACTCTTATAATATAATTTTGTTCCCCGTCAGGGGGCAGCGCCCCCTTGGACCCCTGGCAGACTGGTATATTTTTGTATTCATGTTATTTTATTATTGGTAGTCCAAATAATTGTTATTGTTTATCATTATTTAAAATTTTAAATTAATTTATTTTAATCGTTTTGAGGCTTACGCCTCGATCCGCCTCGAGGCTTACGCCTCGCCTCGCTTAGAAAAAACGCCTCGATTCCCGATTTCGCCTTTTAAAACCTTGGCATATATAATGTCTGGTCTTGTTTAGGCCATATAAATATAGATTCTTGATCATTCTTTAATATCTACCTTTTTCAATTTCTATGTTGTCGCCTACCTTTCTAATTTTGTGGTAGTAATTAGTTGGAACTTGCTAGAACATCCATCCCATCATATCTATTTTGTTTAGTAGATTTAGGAAATATTTTGTTAGGAGATAAATATCCAACCGTTTAGGTGAGTCACTTTATTCCAAGTAACCATTTTGAGTCTTTCTTTATCTTTTTTTTTTTAATTTTTTTTGGATTGTTAAACTTGCATTTTCCTTATTTCTCAATGATTATCATTTATTTTAATTATGTCAAACTTTCCTCATCTCTATTTCTTCATGATTATCATTTGTTATAATTATGTTATCCACATACACTATGACATTAATTTTGCCCTCAATTTTGCCCTCGTTAGATTTCCTTATGAAGAGAGTGTGATATTTGAGAATTAGCTTGAAGTTCATTCCTTTCATAGTTTTGTTGACATCTCTAACCATTCCTTTTAGGTTTGTTTTTGCAAATATATAGATTTTTTTCAACCTTAAAAATATTTAGTATTAAAATCTTGATTAAGACCTATAAACAGACGTATTCTTGTTTGTCATGTCGGAATGCATTTTCTACATCTAATTAATTTTAGGACCAATTGAGTATAGTTGCCGGGGATAGAGCTATGATGCACAGACACGGTGACTCGGACACGACACGACACGGACACGGGACAGCTTTTTTTTGAAAATTTAAGACACGGGTACGTCGCGGACACGGCAATACATTTTTTTAGATAGTGTATATATATTAATGTAATATCATATTAAAAATATCAAACAATAATAAATGAATGACATGATAACTTGTCTAGCTTATAATATTAAATATTTAGTACAAAATATCTAGTACAACCACAAAAATATA